TCGTTGGCGCTCGCCGCCGAGAAGACGTGCAGGACCGCGTCACTCGCTGCCAAGAGGACGATCACCATTGCGTGGCCCCCAGAGTCGAGGCATGTCGTCTCCTCGTGGACAACCAAGACGCGATGGACCAGTGCAACGCAGACGTGGAGGACGCAGTCGGTCGCCACGACGGAATCAGACGAGTCACTACGGACCTCAATCTGAAGAAGGACGCCGAGTAAGTAGCAGTACCCAAGGCAATGAGACAGGTCCCAGAGGTGGACCAACTCAGGGTACTGAGACCGGCCAAGGACAAGACACTGCAAACCAAGGTCAGACGTTTTCGGTGAATGCAGTTGGACGAGATGAGAACATGCAATCTGTTGAGAGAGACTTTACGGAGTAGATCCGCGACTCGGGATCACAGGCCAACATTTGTGGTGATCTATCTCTGTTCACGACACTGCGAGAAGACAAAACGAGCCGACTTGACTTCGCTAATGGTACTACGGAGCACACGACGGTTAGTGGCTCTGTCCTACTGCGAGTGATCAACCAAGCCACTGGTGAACTTGAGGATCGTCTGCTGGATGATGTAGTCTACACGCCAAATGCCAAGGTCAACCTGATTAGTATGGGATACCTACAGACCACAGGAAACTACAAGCTGATGTGCTCAATGGACCAGAAGACGGCGTGGATGTCGAAGCCGGGCACTATCCTAAAGTTTGAGATGCGAGACAATCTCTACCGGCTGCGGAGTGATAAGAAAACCGGTGTGATGGTCATGGCCATGGCTAAGCAAGCTGTAGAGGACAAGAAGACGATGGAGCTCCTACATCAGCGCTTTGGCCATCTACACATGGCTTTGCTTCAGGTGATGGCTGATAAGATGGACTTGGGGGTAAAGCTCAACACGGAAGATCTGAGCACCTACGAATGCATTGCCTGTGTTGTGAGCAAGACAAAATCCATGAGTCACAAACGACTTTCAGTCCACTCGACTAAACCACTTGAAACTCTGGCTATGGATATATGTACGATGAATGTGGAGACAGCAAGTAAAGCTACTATGTTCATGTTCATTGTGGATGTTGCTACGAGATACAAGTGGGCCTATCTACTTGAGAAGAAGAGTCAAGCTACCTAGTTCATCTTGAAGCTGCTAAAGGAGTTGCGGACGCATCACAAAGACTACAGAGTGTTGCATCTTCGGTCGGACCAAGGTGGTGAATTCGCTGAAGCGGAACTGCATGAGTACGGCGTTGAACACGGCATCGTGCAGCAATTCACGAACGCGTACTCTCCCCAAGAGAACGGGATCGCAGAAAGGGCGAATGGCATTGTACTGCCTCGTGTGCGAGCGCTGCTAACAGCTACACATCTACCGAACATGTTGTGGGGAGAAGCTTTGCTGCACATGGTGACAACACTAAACATGCTACCCAGTAAGATGTTGGGAATGACTTCGTCGCACGAGAAGCTGTACGGACGGAAGCCGCCCTTGAGTATGTTGCGAACCTGGGGATGTATTGCACATGAACGAGTACAACCTGAGTCAAGACAAAGAAAGGAGAAGCTTGAACCACGGGCACAAATGTGTCTATTGCTCGGTTACAGCGACTCTACGAAGGGCTACAAGTTTCTAGACCTATTGACCTGTCAGGTGAAGACTGCACAAAGAGAGAACTGCCGCTTCCACGAGGAGCTCACAGTGGATGGAGCCTACGTGAAGCAACTACTGGAAAATGCGTACCTGGACACACTGCACGTGTTGCCGGAGAAGCCACCAGTAGTGAGAATTAAGACGAGTATCGAGACCTACACTACAGAGAGTAGTGGGACTGTGCCGATGAGCAAGGCAGGTGAACTCCTAGAGGTTGAATGGGCTGTGAACGGAGAACAAACGTCCAGTGGGAGTGCAGAGCATGATGACTCGTCGAGCGTTGAACAGCAAGAAGTGGAGAAATCTGCTGACCCTCAGGTTGCACCTGAGAAGGTACCTGAACCAGTGAAGGTCACAAAGAGACGCAAGCGCAATGCGCGAAAGAAACCCGTGAAGGAAGACACTGGATTTGCAATCCAGGAACCTCCAGTCGAGCCATGTCTGAAGCGACCGAGAAGGACGCAGAAGGCAAACGTACGATTGAGCGACTACGTGGTAGGCCAAGTGATAGCGCATGGCATGGACGTGGACATTCCTACAACCTACAAGCAGACACGGAAGAGTAAGTTCTGGACCCAGTGGCGGGCTGCGATGCTGGCAGAACTGGCATCGCTGAAGAAGCGTAAGACCTGGCGACTTGTACCGCGGAGAAAGGCAAAAGGTGTCAAGGTGATTACATGCCAATGGGTCTTTGCGGTGAAACGAGATGATCGTGGACGTGTCAAGCGGTTCAAAGCTCGTCTTGTAATCCACAGATTCAAGCAACAGTTTGGCATCAACTACAGTGAAACATATGCACCGGTGATTTGCTTTGAAACTATTCGTGCGGTCATCTACTTCGCTGTGCAGCGAGGATGGGAGATACTCCAGTACGACGTAAAGACAGCGTTCCTGTACGGAGATCTCGACGAGATGATATACATGGAGCAGCCGCCTGGATTCCAAATTGATGGACCAAGCGCTGTATGCGAGCTATTGAAGAGCCTCTATGGATTGAAGCAGGCGCCCAATGTTTGGAACCGGACTCTACATGCGAAGTTGGTGACATTGGGCTTTGAGCGCACAGACTCAGACTATGGGTTGTATGCGTTAAAGGAAGAGGGTGAAGTTAAGCTGCTATTGACTGTCTACGTGGATGACCTACTACTAATGGGACCCCGAGATCTGTGCGTCAAGATTGCAGCTGCAATGCAAGAAACCTTTGAGCTGACTACGATGGGTACTTTGCTTGATGTCGAGATACTGCTTGACAGACCAAGCAGACAGATTGTTTACTGTCAGAAACAATATGTGCTGGAAGTACTTAAGCGGTTCCACATGTCGGATTGCAACGGATGTACTACTCCTGAGGCTACTACAATGTCTAAGGCTACTGTACCTGTAACAACGGACTATCTGCCGTACCGTAAGCTAGTGGGAGCACTTCAGTACCTAGTGAATGCGTCAAGACCTGATATTGCACATGCAACGAGACATCTTGGCAAGTTCCTGGCGTCCTACGATCATACACACTACGCACAAGCTAAGAGGGTACTTAGGTATCTAAAAGCTACGTGTGACTACGGTTTGGTGATGGACGTACCTGAGGGAACTACAGCAAATGTACGCTGCTACTCAGATGCCGACTATGCAATTGATCCTGTGGACAGAAGAAGCATCAGTGGCTATGTAAACACACTTGACGGTAACGTGATATCGTATGCATCAAGGAAACAGGAGATTAACTCCCTGAGTACGTGCGAAGCGGAATATGTGGCGATGGCTGAAGCCACCAAAGACGTGCTGTGGCTTGCGGGCCTGTGTGAGGAACTGGCCTGGAAGCATCCAGTACCATTACTGTTGGGTGATAACGAGGGAGCAATCTCGTTGACCACCAAGCCTGGGAAGCACTCCAAGTCTAAACACATAGACAACAAGTATCATATGCTGAGACGAAACGTGGAGTTGAAATTGCTTACCACGCAGCACATTGGGACCGAGCAGATGATCGCGGACATCATGACCAAGCCACTTGCGGTGGTGAAGTTTAATCGCTTTCGTCAAGCAATGAAGGTGTTGCCAGTGGTTTCCTCGGATGATACTACTACCTCTACGGAGCCTGCGGCTTCTACCACGGCTGCTATTGCTGCGGCTACTGCGGAGACTGCGTCTCCTGCTCCGACTGCTATTGCTGCAATTCGAAAGGAATAGGACAAACGCGAGAAGCACGAGCGATTGCGTTGGATGAGCGTGACAACTACAGTGTGTTTTGAGTGCGATGGTGTGCTGGGAAAGCCAAGAAGGTTGCACCTGTCTTGCGTAGTTCTACTACGATACTACACGTGCTACACCTGTGTTAACAACGGACGCTATGACTACGGATGTGAAGGCTCCTGCTGTGGATGAGGACGGTGTTGACTGTGGCATGCTGTTTGCTGTACAGACTACTGTGCTGCTGGTCTACGACTTTGATCTATGGGGCTTCAACCTGTGAAGTCTTGTGTGTGATCGCGTCAATCAAGGCGCTGTATTGCCGAGATCAAGTGGGAGTGTGAGATGCCAGCCCCTGTGTGAAGAGGCTAGCACCAGCAGTACATACAAGTGGACTGTCAGTGCCTGGCATTGACACTGACAGCCGATCCTACATCCTATCCTACGCCTGTTGATGCAGCCTGCGGCTGCGCACTTACCGACGTGCCACGTGCGGATGCGTGCGGTTATACCAAGTTTACTATGATCGATGGACAAGAGCGACCGTGCCGCCGTGCTGCTCACGACGACACTGACTTAGGTAAAATATGGTTTATATAAGCTTATGTATCGAATAGAACTTGCGGAGAGGCGTACTGGCTTGCGTGAGGCTTGCTCTCTCTCACAACTCAATTTGCGGTTCAGCGAACCTCAGAGAGAAGAGCAAGCCCACACCAGTACTGCAGCCCTGTCGTGGCCTTTTGCCCGGCACTCACTGTGTTTACGTACCTCTTTTGATTGCTTTACTAACTAAGTGTAAGTCTATTCTAATGGCACCTACGCTAAGGAGTGACCTACGCTTAGAGAGCAGTCCAGTGACGCGCCCTGCGTCACCTCAGGCGGAACTGTGTGCGTCGTGCTACCGTCACACTCTTCGTTTCCATGTCAAGGTGGCGGCATTTGAAGACATGCCTGTAGGCTGCTAAGCGAGCACCCTTGCGGTGTGACGACGCATGTGAGAGGGTATGCGGTTTAGAAGTTTACGGTACTTGTTTTAATGCATTTGAGTTTGCACTTTATGCATTTGAATAGGGATTGGGTGCATTTGGTTTTGTTCCTGATGAATTTGGTTCTGTTCTTTGTGAACTTGGACTGGAAAAGGTGTACTGTACTGTAGTGCAGCAAGCTACTTGGAAGCGGCAACACTGTGACGCGACGCGACGGATGCCTTGCCCTGGAGGTCAAATTCGTCATTGTTGGTGGAGCTGGACATACCAAAGTTCATCTTTTTCATGGTGAAGAAGAAGGCGAAGAAGTTGACGACGCTGACGGCGCCCACCGTGAAGAACATGTACTCGAGGTTGCCGTCGTTCAGGTCGTCCGACGGGAGGTAGGGCGAGAACATGATGGTGAAGACCGACGTCATGACGCTTCCCACGGAGATCATGAAGAGGTTGACACTCTGCGACGTGCTCTTGAGACCTAGGGGCACTATCGAGTAGAAGACATCGTACGCCGTCACGTTGATCAGACACTCGGCCAGAGCGATAAAGACGTAGTTCGGGATGGCGGCAGCCCACGAGATGTCGTTCATCGGCTGGTCGCTTCCGCCGTCGAGGATCGGATCACCGTTGGCGTCTTGTAGAGCGCCAGAGTTACGACGGATGACCTCGAAGATACCAGACCAGAAGATGCCGACAGCAGCGACGATGAGACCGGCGCACACACGACCGAACTGACTAGGAGGCTTACCGAAGCGCTTTTCGTAGAATGGATACACAATAGAGTCCAGAATAGGGATACAGATGACGATAAAGATTGGGTCAAACACACCAAGCATGGCACCGGGGAGCTGGGAGCTGTCCGGGTCGCTACGGTCCAGACGCAAATCGCACTGCTGCGTGATGGACTGGAAATTGGCGTCCGTCTGGTCGTACGCGCACTGCCAGATGATAGTGAAGGCAGCGAAAGGAAGAGTGCTAACCAGCTTCTTGTAGCCGTCGACCTGGGTGTCGTCGAACTCGCCCCCTTGACTCTCCTTCATGCTGTCCATGAACGACTGGTCGTGAGCAGCGTACACCCAGCAGACGACACCAACGAGCACCATGGCAGCAGCGACGTATGACAGCGCCTCACCCGCGCGTCCACTGTCCGCACTGAAAGCAGAGGCGATGTTGACGACCAGAGAGAAGAGAAGCAGAAGGGCTCCAGTGACCACAATGGCACCGTTACGAGACGTTTGCGCACTCTTCTTAAGAAGAAGCAGCAGCGTCGAGATGGACCGATCTTTCGGGGGCATGTGCACGTAACGAGGCGTGCCGACAATGAAGAAGAAGATGGCTACAACCATCACTCCCGCACAGATCATGTAGGTAGCGAAGTAGCCATACTCAGCAGGGATCTGAGCTGAGCCATCTACACACAATACAGACAGGTATCCGTAGGAGAAGGCGGCGCCGAAGTTAATGCAGAAGTAAAAGTACGAGAAGTACGTTTCCTTCTGGTGGACTTCACTGGGGTCGTTCGGGTCGAACTGGTCGGCACCGAACGTGATGACGTTGGACTTGATGGCACCAGTACCGACACCAATACCGACGAACAGACCGACAACGAAGATAGGATTGACGATGGCCTTCTCGGTCATGATGTCGGGGTGAGCGGCGATGGCCACGAGGAAGTCTCCGATGCAGTACCAGATACCGAAGATGAGGATGGTGCGGTAGCGACCCCATTTCTCGTCAGCCAGGTAGGCGCCGAACAGTGGCGTGATGTAGCAGATGGACGTCCAGGTACTTTTCAGTGCACTGGCAGACACGAGACTCCAGCCGATCTTCTGCATGAAGTTCTTGAGACCTTGGTTGATGCCGTAGTAGCTCAGACGTTCGGCTAGCTCCATCATGAGGATGAAGGCGCATACTTGGAACAGCACGCTCTTGTATTTGCGTGGACGGGCATCCCAGACGCTCCCGTAGGCGGCAGTGGGCGAGTCGAGGGCCGGCGACTTGATCTTCGACGTGGACATCGCAGACGAAATTGTAAAGTGAGGTTTGCGGTCCCAGAACTCAACGAAGGAGGGGGAGGTGAGATGGGGGGCAACACCTGCACCTTTCTTGACGCGCTCCAGTCTTCGTTTGAGCACGCACACACGAGGAGAGCGCATCCCCCCGTGTCTGGTTTGCACACGTCTCTGAGACGAAGAACCTGTGTGTGTGTCTCGATGGTGACACGCTGGACAAGTCAGTGGAATCGGCTCTAGACGGCAATTCAAGTCGGCTGGCGCCCAGGAGTTGAAACCATGCCGACTTGACACCTTGACAGTCAAGGTCTTGCCAGCAAGTCTATCCAAACCTCTGTACAACCTCTCGAGCGGTGTTACATACACTTTCGCCGTCACAAGGCCGCGCGGTACTTTTTTTTAATCGCGCGGCTTTGATTAAGGCGACCGGGCCATGCACGCTAAAAGGAGGTGACGCGATGAGCTCGCTGGCCTGGATTGGGCCAGCAAGGCAAGTTGACAACCGCATGAGGGTTGCTGTGACTGTACCGAATTACTTAGTTATGCATTACACCCAATCTGCAGTGCAGAGACCAGAAATTGCGTGTCCCGGCTATCGGTATCTTCGAACAAACGAGTTTGGGAGGGCAAATTTGACCCTGGCGGTCGAAGGGCTAAGCGATGGCGGCCTTTAAATAGGCTCTGCCAACTCCAGGATGCCGTGAACGCGTGGATACCGGCTTCGTTAGCTTCTGCGAGTGCCTGCAACCTTAGCATCATTGGTGTGACTGGCACCCCTTCGTCCCGTAGGTCCCCGACCCAGCGAACAAGTTTCAACTCTACTGAGTAAGGTAGAGCTGTAGCTACACCACTACAACGTGCCTCATCTTCTTGGCTTCTTTAGGGACTGTACACGCAGCGACGATCTTGTGAAGAGATGTACGCCGTAATGGTGTTCGTTGGTGCTTGGCGGCCCTTGCCACCAAGTAGGCGAGGCCTCCCCTTTGGGCGTTTTCGTTGCGTTGGACTCATCTGCGGCTTTGAGAAGTGAGACCCGTGTACGCAAATTACTGGTTGTCAAGTCGTGTAATTGATAACTAAGGATGCACGGCACTCAGCGTTTGGCGGCTTCTGGTTGGCCACATTGAAGTGTAATTGATAACAAAGAGTAATTCATAACTAAGGTTATTCGGTAGCAACATTGATGGCAAGCTTCCACCGTGATATCCACGCCGCAACGGACAGCAATGGGCTGAGGACTGACTGGTGGTTTGGTGCTCATTCTTGCAAGAGAGCGTCAAAGGGACTTGAAGAGAGGGTTGCTGATCTCGGAACTACAGTACATGTAATGAGATTAAAGAAGTGGTGCTGAGTCCATTCGTCCACAGGCGTGGCACGGGGATGAGATCTCGCTGAGCGAATGCAGAGGCAGATGGGCATGAGCGCGGCTCAATGCAGCAATGCGCTCCGGATATATCGGCAGATGGGTCACCACCTTGCTCCGGGAGTCCCGTGGGCTATACATGTATTCCTGCGGCACTGTGGACTCGAAAGCTCAACGCTCGCGCTTGACCTGTTCGTGTCAAGCAACGCCTTCCCTGCTGATTAAAATGTTAGCACCATCGGAATTGCTTTTTAGCATCTCGAAGTTGCGATAACGTTAGCTATGACACGATGGCTGATGAGGTAAAATCTGCGTATCTGCATGTTACTGGATTGCTGCTGGGAATGCTTGCTAAGCGTTCCACCCTACTTCCTTACTTCGCAACTTCAAAATGGATTCTTCACGGACTCCGTGTAGTACATGTATCCATTTCCGTGACGGAGGTTGACATGTAGGTACGCTCATACAGTATGTACTGTACCAGAAGCAGCCAACGGCGCTTTCGGTTGTTGATTAGTCTGCACAAAAACTTTAGGGCAACGCTGTGCTCCGCCACTTCGGATGTGCTGACTCAGTTGCTGGTCATTCTTAAAGCCAACTGATGTGTGTGTGTGTTTTTTTATTAATTTTACAGTCCTGGTAAACACCATCACGTAGAATTAAGAACGTGCAAGACCACGACATGACATTGTCATTGCACGACTATTATACATGTACCAGAAGAGGTGACTTAAACGTAATACACATGACAAAAAGAGTTGGCCTGACGGCTAAGCTAGAAGTAGATACATGTAACTACATTCACTTCAACAGATCCAGACTTTGCGTGCGATATTTGCCGTGCACCTGAGGCTCCCTGTTGCTGTTGGAGAGATCAACACGTCATTTGTACCTGTCAAAGGAATCAGCAGCTACCGTAAAAGGCGAAATCAAATTTATTGATCCAACATCTCTCAGCAACCAATAGCAAAAATTAGTTTTGCCAAACCCAAATATTGAATCGCAATCAACCCCTCTTTACATTTACAAAGCATAATGCTTGTTTATCCTTGTCCTCTATCGTTTAGTTGTCCGCGTGCTGCGTCATCCAGTGCTGCACCCACGTGAGCACACGCTCGATGTTGCTCTCCATGTCCTCCACAGTGCAGCTTGATAACTCCTGCACGATCTCGGGCGCGTAGCTCTCCCGCGCCTCCTGCAGTATCACCTCCATGATCTCGCACTCGACGTTCTCGGCCACTTTTTTCTCCGAGTAGCCACGCTTCTGCAGGCGGTCGAAGAGCGTTGTGTTGTCCACACGAAGCACCACTACCAGGTCGAACCAACGCTCGGGAAAGAAGTCACAAGTGTGGAAGTCCACCACCTTGCCGCCCTCAGTCATCATGTCTTCCATCTCATCGCAGACCTTGTCCTCATCCAGCACGAAGCAGTCGAACTCTTCGTCGCGACCATTGTGCAAGCCGCGCTCTTTGACCTACAACGGCATCGCATTGCAATTAGTATCGTAAAATGTTGGTTCTACTTTAGGAGCGCTGACAGGGCCTTTAGTTCGCAGTGAAAGAGGAGAAACAACATACCAAATCGCCGACGTTCAGGTGTGTCAGCAGTTGTGAGCGTTCCTGATACGATATTGAAGGTATAACGAGCATTTACAGGTTAAGAGAGGCGTGGCTAGATACGCAAAACGCAGGAGTACATGGAGGTGTATGGATTGCACACGAGAACGCACCGCGAGCTGCTGGCACATGGACGTCTTGCCAGTTCCGGGCGTGCCGGTCACGAGGATGTTTGGGCCGCGAGGCATTTTTGAAACGAAATGATTGGCAGCAATTTGCTTAGAAATGGTATAGAAACTAAACTTTTAAAGTTTGAGTTGGATCTTATAAACTGATATGTGCAGCTACAGTATGTGACGTGTGAAAATTAAGCTCGCGTAGATTTCATGAATTAAAAATACTTTGAATTCTGCTTTTATAAAGTATCATGGACCGGTCTTACAGTACCACAGGATAAAGTGGCAGCGATGTGAGTACAATCATCTTTAATGCATACTCGCACCGAGAGAGCTTTAGCAAAGGTCGCTGAAGTTTAAAGTATTAATACTATTGTTGTACAATCAATCAATTGGAGGCGGACTTACCGTAAAACTACTGGAGTGGCAGGAAATGTAAGCGGTCAACACCTTGTGTTAAGCGATGAGATGTTTCCCAGAATGTGCGATAAATCTAGCCCCCCCCCCCAAACAGTCTTCCTTCGCGGCAGGTTGGGTCTAGGAGAAGCCTCCGCAACGGACTGAGTCTTTAAAAGATACTGGCTTGATAGGTGATAGCACAACACCTGCATTGACTTCATGCACTGAAGTAGCGGAGAGAGCACGAAGCTCGGATAGTTGACAGCTCTTAAATTGGTCGAGCAGCATTCGTTGTGACGTGCTCTCCAGGACCAAGTTCTCAACTACTCTCCGCGGAGCCTTCTGTTTCTGTACCATTCACAGGCACATTTAGTTACCGACGCCTCTTTATGAGGGCAATAAAAACTTCAGCGGACGAACCTTCACAGGAACTTTGATCGGAGACATCGGCAGTGTCCGAGAAGTTCTGTTCGCTCGCTGAGCCATGACAAATACAAAAGTTAAGGATGATGAACGCCAAAAACATTTTAGTTAAAACACGGACTTGTCCTTGTGGTTGCACGTCGGGAGCAGTGGCAGGGTCACTGTCGATACGAGCTGAGTCTTCTGGCATTTGGTGCGTGATGTGGGTCACTTTGTCTGCGAGTGTGCCTCTCTTTTCTCGAAGACGCCGTCGCTCGTCTACAGATAGAGGAGAGCTGACTTTGGCCGGATCTACCGGGCCTAGCTCATTGCAATGCCGTGTGAGTTGGAGACGCAGCGAATCTTTGAAAAACGCTGGGTCTTCCACATATCCAGGCGGTTGTTTCCACCACCTGTCAAGCTTGTCGGCCTTGGGGATATCCCGGAGGCGTTCAATTTCTGACGGTTCAAACTTGAGACTTTCCAGATGTGTATCATGGTGTCTTCGAGCAGCCAATGCTGTCTTGGTAGGTGAGCCACTGCATGTCGCTCGAGGGTGGTAATACTGAGGAGAAGGATCCAGTTCTTGCTGTCTTGGACTATGAGCTAACGCCCCGCTGGGGTGGTAAGAGTCTCGATAGGATCTTTCTGAGCGCACATACTTCTTCTCACTCGAGAGTGGAGGCTCGATAGCTAGACCCAAAGCACGACGGTCTTGTTTCCGAGCCTCTAATAGTTCACTGCGTCTGGTAAAGTCCGGCTAACACCATTGATATCCACGTCAACATCACAGCGATATTTTAAATCAAAGCAACTACTGGGACCAACGCACCATTCGCATCCTGTCAGGTGAGATCTTGACATCCACTGTTGCCATTATAATTAGCTACGAGGAACACGCTCAATTGATCTGTGCATGGTGAGCTGAACGCAAAGACCAACGATTATCAGGGATCCCGGTCTTACCGACATGCAAGCCCAGGGCGCGAGGAAAGAGAGGAAAAACAGTAAAAATAGCCGTCTCCAATTCTAGCTTAGGTGAGCGACATCTGTTTAAACCTTTCACGCTACACTTTGTTAGGCAGTTCAGAGTTTCAAACTATGAAGTGATCTCAAAGACTTTCTAAGCGCAGTGCTGTCTGCAGTATTGACAATGTCTCCGTTGAAGGCACCACTTTCGCCTTGTAATCCTAAAGGTCAACGTCGACAGCGATTTCTAGACCATCTCGCCCGCTTCAGCCTTTCATTTTTCACTCTTTGTTCACTTCTTCTCCGCCTGCATCTTGGCAAAGTCCTCTTTGATGAAGGCTAGCGCCTGTGCCACATCGTCTACAACTCCATAGGCCGGGTGCTCCTCATGGTTTTCAGGTCCGTTGTGCATCCCCGTGAGTGTAAGAACTGACTTCCATCTGCCACCAGCTTCGTTTGCCCCGCGAATGTCCGTCTTTGGGTTGTCCCCCACCATGTAAATACGCTCCACATGTTCATGTTGCGCATCGATGAGCGTCTCGGCAAACTCAAACGACGTGCGTTGAGGTTTCCCATACAGCGTCTTCTCCAGCTTGTGACCCGTCGTGCGGGTGAACAGATCCTCTAGTACCGCATGGAACGCGCCCGCGCCGTATCGTGGTAAATGGAACTCGCCCACATACTGGAAATCCGAGCATGCCGAGTAGAGGGGAATGTGCTGACGATCGCCCTTACCATCTCCCTCCACGGTGCGTTGACCCAGCAGTCCGTCGGGAGAGCACAGTACATCCATAACGACCTGTAGCTCCCGCCCCCAGTAAATGGGGTCAATGAGCACGAACACCGCAGCAAATGGCTGCGAATCGAAGCGACCGTCGTGGTTCAGAGGGTCCTGCACCTTGACGTCGGGGTACATAATGGGAAAGTGGCGGTGCAGCTGGTCCACGGTGACTACGTGCTTGAAGCCGTAGTTGGCCATGACCCTGCGGATCTCGACGCAGTCTTTGCCAACTGCCAGCACCAGCTCGTCACTGTGCTTGAGTGCCAGTTCACGCATGGGTGTGTGGCTCATACACATACGCTCGGTCGGGATAGACACGCCGCTGCCCAGGATCCGCTCAATTTGTTGCGCCTTCTTGTCCTCCGGGTAGCCACCGCCGTTGGTCATGATGGCGAACGGAGTGTTGGTCGCTTTCAGCTCCAGAAGCACTTCACGCGCGCCTGGAATTGGAACCTTGCCGCGCAGAAGGACACCATCTACGTCGAAGACCACACCGAATGTCGAAGCGAAGCAGCGGCCGACGCTACGGTTAACGATAGCTGTACTTCTACGCAACATATTCATGGTGTCTGAGCTGCAGAAGGGAATGCCGCGAGCCTACTGCAATGGATAGGCAGATAATCATTAATTTAAAAACAATTGACCATTTCAGTATTATGGTCAAGGGATATAAAGCAGAAATGGTCATTTTGATAAATGGAGACTCTCCATTTGGTGTATCAAACAGCAATGGTCAATTTTTAAATTAAATGTTCAATTCAGTTGAGATTATCTGAACAAAATAGGCTTGTTAAAACAATTTCTTACTTCAGTAATTGCTTTAGAAAATAATTTTGAAAGATGCTCTAAATCAGAGTCTTCCAAATTGTGTAATGATACATATTAGTACTACTATTGAGCTACTGTTGTTTAGGAGTGCTACAACATTAGTTGTACTACGTTGTTCAACTACTACTACTATTGCGCGTAATACTACAAACAACGTACCGGTAGACTCCCGGCGGTAGTTCTACAGAAGTAGTATTTTGTAATTAGAATTAAGAGCACGTTCTTTTAAAACTAGGTCGTTCTAATAATTCTTGTAGTCTAAGTACTACTACCGGTAGTACTTCGTCGAATGTACATGTATCATTATACTACTAGTTCCGAAAAACTCAAATGTACTAAACCGTGCTGTATCAAATTGTGGATAGGATACCTAAAGCGAGCGCAGCGAGCATGCCTGCGGGTGTGCGTAGCACGCGGGTGCAAACCCAGGACCGATAATAGCCATCACTATCAAGCGAAGCGCTCACGGTTCAGCCTCCACGTTTTGGGTTTGGTACTTGCTTTAGGAGATTTTTGTAAGTCTTTCAGTAGTATCTGACGAGAATGAAAAAATAAAGCATGTTACATTATCTTTGTTTCTCCATGCTCTGGACACTCTACCACGACAGGTCCTTAGACGCACCTGCTACTGTTGACGCCGGGGCCTCCTCCTTGCTGGAGCAGCCACTGCCGCTGCCGCAGCTTCCCTTGTCGGCCGCAGGGTCCTGAACTGCCACTCGGAAGAGACGGTTGCCGAACTTCTTGTACAGCGGCATGATGCCACCGCCAGCAAGCAGACGCTCCTCAAAGAGCGACATGTTGAAGCAGAAGGTCTCACCGCCAACCTCAATCGTGCGTCCAGTCATGTTGACTGTGATGTCCACGTTCTCCTTGGCGAGCTCATAGAAGCGGTCGTCGTCCAGCTGGATGCCCAGCAGACTAAAATTCTGGTAGTTACGCGAGAAAATGTACCCGAACGAGCGCGCAATCAGAGCCTTCACACCTGCACCCTTCATGGCCGTCACAGCCTGTTCGCGCGACGATCCGCAGCCGAAGCCGTGGCCAGCAACCACAACGTCCTGGCCCTGCTTGACCTTGCCGCGGAAGTCTGGGTTCGTGTGCAGGAAGGCGACCTTACCCAGAGCCTCCATGTCGTTCTCACACAAGAACTCACCGGGCAGAATAGCGTCCGTGTCAATGTTGTCACCAAACACCTGCACGCGGCCCTGGATGGAACCTGAGAAGGTATCGAGCGACGCAGCAGCCTCAGCATCGGCGTTGCCCGCCTCCTCAGCCGCAGCAGTCGGGAGTTCCGGGTCGACCTCAGCGATCGTGATGGGTACAGCAGGCTGCTTGGGGACAGCCGAGTTGAACTTCTCCACGTCAATGAGCTTCAGGAATGGACGCGGGTCGGTGACTTCCATGGTGAAGCTGGAAGCAGCCACAGTGATGGCAGACGCGAGGTTGGCGATGGAGCCCTTGCCCATGCGGTTGCGGTAGTTGCGGTTCTGCGAGCTGAGCCACACCTCGTTCTCGCCTGCAACGTCAGCAGCAATACCCAGACAGAAACTGCAGCCTGGAGCACCCACAATGAAGCCGGCCTTCTCGTACACGTCAATGAGACCGTGCTTCTTAAGGTTGTCGACGATGATCTGACTGCCAGGAGTCACACGACGCTGGCCGTGAGCCACGGGGGTCATGCCTTGCTTCAAGCAAGCCTCAAGCACCAGAGCACCGAGCACCAGGTCTTCTTCGGCGGTAGTACAGGCACCGATGAAACAGCCATCCAGCTTCATGCCTACGACTTCCGACACAGGTTTGACGTTGTCAGGCGACGGGAAGAGAGCCACCTGGGGCTCCAGGTTGTCCAGGTCGATCTGGAACTTCTCGGCGTACTGCGCGTCCTCGTCAGCACGGAAGTAGAGCGCGTCCTGGTTATGGTCCGGGCGCTTGGAGATGTACGCAGCAGTGCGCTCGTCAGCGGGGAAGACGCCGGCAATACCACCGAACTCGGCCGTCATGTTACTGATAGCGAAGCGGGCGTCGCAGGACAGCGCTGAGATGTTGCCACCCCACTCCACGCAGCGGCCAATCGCCACCGTGTTGCACTTTAACTGGCCCAGAGTGTAGAGCATGACGTCCTTGCCACCCATGCCCATGGGAGGAGTGCCTACAAACTCAATGAGCACCGTCTCGGGCACCTTGATCCACGTCTCACCCGTCACAAGGGGCATGACAACGTCAGCAGCGCCCAAACCAATAGCGAAGGCGCCAAGGCCACCGGTACTGCACGAGTGTGAGTCGGCACCCACCACGATCTGGCCAGGCTGCGCACGTTGGCGGTAAAACTCGGTGTGGAGGATGGTAGTGTTGGGCGGCTGGAAGTTAGTGAGCTGCGCCTCCTTGGCAAAGTCCTCAGACGCTTTAATCATCATCTGCTGACGCGGCTGGTGGTTCACACGCGGGTCCACGGTATGGTCCACAGCCAGCCAGAAGCGATCGTTGCGCCAGATACGCGGGCGGCCCATGTCCTGGTACGTCTTGTCCATGGACTTCCACGTGATCTCACAGGCCAGCGTCCACTGCGCCTTGACGCACAGCATCTGGCCAGGCGTCACTTCGGGCTTAGTCAGACCCACAGCCCAGTGCGTAAGAATCTTTTCCGGCAGCGTAAGCGGCCTGCGCGCAGGGGGCGTGGAATCAGCGGAAGCGGTCGCCATTGTGGGAGTATTAGTGCGCTTCAGGAGGCAAATGCGGAAGTGAGCTTTTGGTGCTGAGGTGGTGACATTCCGGGGGTGGGGCAAGCGGAAAGACGCGCACTGATGAACAGAATGACATGAAAAACGAAGGGTATCATTGTAAAGAGATTTGGCTGTATGGTTTAGGCTTTAAATATAGAATTATAAAAGGGAAGATTCATCAGGTTATACAAGATTCGTTTGCGCAAACGCTATCAGAGTAAACGGGACTCGAAGAACAACCTGCTTTAAGTGATGCGTGTTTGGGTTGTGAAACTGGTGTTCGCTGCACCATGCGAACCACGCGACGCAGCGTAATCGGAGTAGTGTATCCAAATCAAAGATACCTACAGTAAGACAGTGTGAGAAATCGACAGCACGACACGATGATGCAGCAGCCTGCACGGTTAAATCCCTATTTTAATACCGTAACTGTGCAGTACTGTTGACTTTCATACTTTGACAGCACCACCGTGTTTGCGCAATTTGCGACCTTCGCGCAACAAAAAACTCGAGCTACACTCGCGTAACCTCTGACGCGCGTCAGCAGGTAACCATTGTATTGCAATTTCAAAAAGATATTTAGCAATAACTATTTATTTTTGAGATGCCAGATACTAATATCTATTTCAATAGATTATTTCCACATGTGCTTTCCGATATTGATTTTCTTTTACTTTTCCGTGTTTTTAACTTGAAAACCATTTTATATGGAGCATAAAAAAAACTAATTTTGGCTGCAACTATTTATTTTCGCTGTCGGTATCAGTATTACAGTTTATTATTTCCGAGGACATTTATAGTATTATTGCAATGTTATTATCGGAGCACCTGGAGCATACTTAGTAAAGCATATGTTTAGAGTTCCTACCAGGATCCCTGTTCAAAAACACACTTTTGGCTAATACTTCAGTACAATATCGTAATAATGCTAAGCTAAAAATGTGATACAACTGTGCGTTAACGGTCGCAATACGTTATGAAATGCGAACCCTCATCTCAGAATGGGTGAATGATCACCGAGTCGGACAAGAGCGACATATAAACTACATGCACCTCATGTGTAGCCAAGTTTCACAGGTGGCGAAAATACAGCACAAAGTGCCAAGTTCCTATCTTATTGAAATAAACGTTTATTAGGTAAAACTTGGCGAATGACTTCAACAATAAGGAAACGCAATTCTTTTGATAATATCCAGAGCTTTTCGGGCGACGCACGGCATTAGTTCAAAATGGCACAGTGTCATATAATCGATCAAAAGCGATATTACATGTATACCGGTATCCAATATATTATGTGTAACGGGGTACGTAGCCCTAAGTGTACCCTGGTTACATGAAGTGTGACACTTCACACTTCAGGAGTATGACACGTCATACTTCGGGATATTTGGTACAAAGTACCAAGGTCGTTCAAAGCCAGCCATTGGTTAATGACATTGCATTTCTATAGGTAGCTTATTAAACCCAAGCTTTATCTACCTACAAATATACTCAATTTACATTCTACCTTAATTTGGTCACTTCGCTCTCTTTTGAATAAAGAGGGGACCTGTGAACTGCCGTTCACTGAGCGTTTGTATACTCTCGGAAGATAACTTCCTCGAGCGCAAGGTGCTGTGTGACCCGTCACACTTGGTAGCACTCGTAGTCAATCCACGCCACCGCGGGTAGACTACCTGAACCTCTCCGAAGCTCGTTGCCATGGATAGGAACGACTTCTCCCATATGAACGACTCTCATTTCGAGTCGGTTCGGAAGATGGCAGGCATCTTCGGGATGGAGGCCCTGCAGAGCCTGGTGGTGTCAACACCGGCCGAGCAGCTCGAGCGCGTCAATGCGTTCGACGCGTACGAGCAGGGCCTCATCGCGCATGTGGGGGAGAACCTGCAGGCTCCGGCGGCGGAAGCAAATCCGCCTCACCCGAAGCCAATGCGGCTGAAGGTTAAGCCGTATGAAGAGAAGGAAGGCGAGAACCTTCACTTCTGGGTCCGAGAAGTTGAGCTTGAGATGGACGCGGCTCTGATCTCGACAGCGTGACATCCGCTGCTTCGGCTGTGGGAAGATGGGCCACTTCAAGCGTGACTGCCCCGTGGAAAGACTCCGCAGACGGTCCTTCCCCAAGCCCGTCCTGAAGGGTCGCTGGCAGAAGCCAGGATCCCGGGGACAGGGGAACGCCGGGAACCAGTAGGGGCGGGGCGCCCTACTGGGGAAGAACTAAGTCTTCGTGATGGGTGCGCGGGTGGCGCGTATTACGGGGACTTAGCCCCTGAGAGTCTTTGCACTCTCGAATCGGCGAAGAGCAGCGGCGGGTTGCTCGTAGTACACGGATGTGTACGGGGATACGATCATCCCTTTAGAATCTTGATCGATTCTGGGGCGTCGAAGAATTTCGAACGCCGCCAGGCGGTTGCTCGCAACAGCAACAAGCTGTCCGATTCTTTGAGAGAAAGCAAGGGCAACGGGACGGTGTCAGTGCGACTGGCCAACGGGAAGGTCGTCACTGTCCCCAACATCTAAGTGGATCTGGCCGTCAAGGTTGAAGACTTTGACAGCCTCGAACAGTTCACTGATCTCGATATGAATCCATATGATATGATCCTGGGCATGCCCTGGCTTGAGAAGCACGAGCCCTAGATCGACTGGTGAGGCAAGGCAATCGGTGCCAGCGGCCCTGCGCAGTCCGACAGAGTATTGGTGAGTCATGTTTTCACCTCTGTCAGGACCCGGGGCGCCCGCAAGGGCTGCCAGGGACGATCAACATTCGGCAGATGCTTGGGGGTCGTCGACGTATATGACGACTCCGAGGATGTTTTGATGGTGGCCGCGCCCAGAAGAGGCGTTGGCCAAGTGGGTAACTTAGGTCCACAGGCGGGTAACTTAGTTCCGCAGACAGCTGCAGCTGTCACGAACACTGAGAACAGCGTGTTCAGAGTGGGTAACAGAGTTCCACTCACGGTCGCCCAGACCTTAGCTGAAGAGGAAGGCGTCGGATACGCATCCTGTGTGGGTACCACAGTACCACAGTACCACACGAGGCCACGAGTGCCTCGGATGTCGTAGCGCCGACATCCCTAGACGTGGGCAGCAAAGCTCCACGTCACGGTCGCCGTCGTCAACGACGCCGCCGCCGCCTCAAGTCGGATCCGAACTTCGTTCCGATCGACGTCGCTTCAAGCGACTCGGAGTCCAGGGCCCGGGCTCCTCCGACAAGGCCGGTGGAAGAGTGTTATCACATCTTCGATGGTGAGACCGGTTTATCCGTCAAGGCATCTGGTGTCCACTTGGAACCGTTGCCAGAGGTTACGGAAATACTGAACCTCGAGGAAATGACGGCTGAGTCTTTCCTGGCAAACCTCAAGGCTGGAGCGATTGCTGAGATGGTGCTCATGAGACCTGAGACCACTCGGGAGGAGCTGAACTCCTCCTCTGTCTTGGACGAGAGCGTCTTGGAAGACCTAAACAAGCAGCGTCAGACGCGCTTGGGTTCTGAGATCCTTAAGAACCCCAAGGATCCGGTGTATCCTTTGGTGACGGAGTATGCGGACGTGGTGAGCAAACACCCGCCGACCCAACTCCCACCGGATCGAGGCGAGATTGATCTCGTGCCCGGCACAAAATATTGTGTCACGAGGCAATGGCCTCTTCCGCGCGAACAGTGCGAGGTCATTGATGCCTTCTTCACCGCGAAAGCGAAGGCAGGCATGGTGCGGGAGTCGAAATCCCCGCACTCGACGCCGACTTTCTGCGTTCGGAAGCCGAACGGAAAGTGGCGTCTGGTTCACGCTTATAACAAGCTGAACAACGCAGCGGTGCCGGCCCAAACACCAATCCCACGAAAGAATGTGTTGTTGAACAACATGGCCGGGAGCGTACTGTACAGTGCGCTGGATTTGGTAGACGGATACTACCAAATCCTGATGCAAGAGAGCGACATCCCGCTCACCGCGGTAAATACTCCAAGCGGCATGCTTTCGGAGTGGCTCGTCATGCCGCAGGGCTTGTCTAACGCCCCGGCGACGTTCAATCGCCTGGCGACGCAACTGCTCCGCCCTTTGCGTACCTCGTACAGACGTACTTCGACGACATATTCGTCCATAGCCGTGCCGAGGGAGGCAAGACGGCCATGGAGGTGCATCTAGGACACCTCCGTCGAGTGTTGGACGTAATACGAGCAAACAAGCTCTACGCCAACACCGACAAGTGCGTTTTTGCGTCACCAGAGATTAAAGTTCTCGGTTGCTTCGTAAGCAACGTGGGCGTTCGGGCTGACCCAGACAAGGTCAAGGCCATAGCAGCATGGCCAACGCCCCGATCCCAAAAGAATCTTCGAAAGTGGTTGGGCTTGGCCAACTACCTCCACAAGTACAGTCTCCTTAAGAAGGACGTCGACTGGCGCTGGGAGCAAGAGCACCAGGATGCTTTTGACAGCATCAAGGCCAGTCTCCAAGAGGCCCCTGTCCTGACCCTGCCGGACGAGACGAAGCTGTTTAGCGTCGTCTGCGATGCCTCCGATTACGCCATCGGGTGTGCATTGCTGCAGGCCGACACAGCTGGACACGAACGAGTCATCTCGTTCCAGTCCAGGCAGCTCAAAGCCGCCGAACGGAACTACCCTGTCCACGACAAGGAGCTTCTGGCAATGAAATATGCCCTTGTGAAGTTTCGTGTTCACCTTCTGGGCTCTAGGCCCTTCGTGATCTACATCAACCACGCGTCCTTGAGGACGGCGACTAACTCGCCTCACCTCTCCCAAAGGATGGCGAGGTGGCTGTCCTTCTTCGCGGAGTACAACTTCCGCGTCGAATACAAGCCGGGCAAGCTCAACGTGCTTGCGGACGCCCTCTCTCGGCGTCCTGACTATGAGTTGTCCCACATCACGCGGGTGACAACGGATCTATATGATCGGATACGCATGGCGTATCGGGACGATACGGCTGTCGCGCCTATCGTCAAGTTCCTTAAGGCCGGGACGAGCGCAAAGTCCGACTGGCTCTCGTCGCGAC